GCTGCATGGGAGGACTGGTATTGGGCAGCAGGAGGTTTCCGGTGAGTGAAAGCTGGAAAGGCTGCACATGCTAGCTGGAGATTGTGCTGAGCTGGCACTGGAGCTCTTCCTGGAGATGTCTGGTATCAGCAAGTGACATCTCCGAGAGCACCTCCTCCACTCCAAGAGACTCATTCCTGGCTTCTGTTCAGATGTATGGACAGGAAAGCCGCATCCTGTCTGTGTATACTGTTATCCGTTATGAATAGTGCTAAAAATATGTGTCATGGTAGTCTGTTTCCTGGATTACTAGAAATGCTAACATACCGTCAGAGAAAATAAATTCAGGTATTCTGCATAGGGAAGAATTTCACGCTATGAGCCCAGCATAAAGGTTCTTGACAACTCTGCTACCATTGTATTCCATTTTATAGTGGTTTTGGACCATCTTTTTTTTTTTTTTTTTTTTCTGTGTGGTTTTTTTTTTTTTTCCAACAAACAAAAAATGGGGGAAAATCAGCACAAGGGATATAATTTATGGCAGCACAGTGGCTGAATGGTTAACACTTTTGCCTGGCAGTACTAGGGTCGTTCGAATCTCAGCCACGGAACCACCTGCCTGGAGTTTGGAGTATAGGAGGAAACCCAAACAGGCACAGGGAGAACATGCAAAGACATACTGGTAGGTTAATTGGATCCTGTCTAAAATTGGCCCTAGTATATGTATATAGGCATGTGAGTTAGGGACCTTTTAGATTGTAAACCCCGTGTGTGTGTGTGTATAAAGTGCTGCGTAACTTGACGGTTCTGTACAAGTACCTGAAATAAACTTATGGTCAGTAGTGATGTGTCCGGTTTGAAATCTTCTTCCATCCCCCTGGAAATTTCTGGGAATGACTGCCTGGGTGTCATCTGTTCTGCTCTCATATAATTTTATATTGGAGCCACTATCTAGTTAAAAACATTGATTCCATTCATTGTGAAAGTAGTTTTCTAGAGCTGCCATGCTGGATTATTCTCGGTGAATAGAAGGGAGCTGTCTTATTGGAAACTCCGCTTCTGAAGTCTGGTAAAGTGCAAATAAAGCCGGGAAGGTGTGGATTGACATTCTATGACTAGGAAGGTTACTATTAAATTTTTAACTGCAGCCAAAACGAGTTGTGTGTGGTGGGTTGTTTTTTTTTTTTTTTTTTTTTTTTTTTTTTTTTTTTGTTGTTTTTTTTTGTTGCCAGACATTTTTTTTTTTCTTAATTTTTCTGTCTGGTAAAATCGTTGACCCCAGAACAGGAAGTGAGTAGCAATCTCACTAGCGGAGCTCCAGGTAGCCATTCAAAAAATCGATGGGGGTTCTTGTCTTTTTTCACTCTGTCATAAACAACATAAATTGGTTCTCCTGAGATCCCCCTCTGTAATGTTTTTGCATACTGGACACATGAATGTGTGTGTGTAGCAGCCATGTCACAAGTCTCCTATGCCATCTTGTCTTAAGCATAGCCTGGTGACCCCCTCCTCCTTTTTTCGTCCTTCAATTTATATAATACACAAACTGTTTACTGATACTAGGACCTTATTAATCTATTGATCAGCACACAGGCCTTGTCAGAGCTGTAAACCATTAATTGAGGCCTGGCAGGATTCTCCTTTCTACAGACTATAAAACAGTACAGATTAATCCTTCCCTCTGACCTGTCGTAAAACAATGACAAAATGTCTGTCTTGTCACACATGATGTGTAGGGCAATTAAAGCTCTAGGAATGCATAGCGTGCCATAAAACCTCTACCCAGAAAGCAGCCAGGCATCTCTCTGAGACCTCTGTCCAATCCACAACTTTACAAAATACACCCAAAATTCATAAAATCCAATAGGAATAAGACCCATTAATATTAAGTATATATTTGAATAGGGAATATCTTACCTAGTAAATCAAGGTCAAGCATGACCTACGTATGTTGGCACTTACGAAAGGGGAGAAGGCAGTCTCCTCCCTCCTGGGTGACAGACCCATCCAAAATACTCTGTGTTTGATATCCCTGGACACGAAATATAATGCTGAACAATAATTGAGAAGTTTCCAGAATGCTACCTGTACATAGTGGAAAATATTAATGGTATGAATCTGTGTGTAAGAGGGGGCCCGATACAGTCATAAAATATGGTGACCTCCTAACCACCACCTCTTAAACCGGGTAATTGGTCATATGGTCTCTGGCCACACCCTTTAATATGACAGAAAAGGGAAATGTCAGAACCCTTTTGATAGCTCTCATTTTACCATCAACTACGGAACATCTGTCAAGTTGTGAGAGCTGAGAATACCTTGCTTATTGACTGAACTCTGCTAAAACCAAGGATTTTGCAAGTATTCCTCCTTTTCAACTGATTTTCTTTATTTCTTTGTAACCTCCTTTTTCTGTAAATATTTTATTTGCACCATACCATTTTCAGTATTAAATCCTATATGGAAAAGTGTTTGAAATTTGTCTCTAAAGCTTTTAATGCAAACTAAAAGAATCCTTATCTCTTGAAGAGTGCTACTATATATGGCAAATCTCTGAATATACTTGTCCGTGGTGACCGTGTGTGTTAGACGTTTATGCTAAAATCATAGTTGTTGCAAAGATGAGTTCCTCCCTCTCAGTTTAAAGGAAATGGTTGTAGCTTTAAAGAGTTAAAGGAGAAGAACGGCCAAAGCTCTTTTTGGCTGTACTGTGGATCACAGTAGTGCAGTTCGTTCTGCACTCCTATGACTCCTTTTCAGATAACAGCGGGCTGCAGCTGTTGGCTGACGTCACTCAGCCGGTCCAGGCTAGGGAAAGATCCCAATTTCGAAGTCTGAATCCACCCCACACTCTGTAGTGATACCTGGCTCAGCGATCTGCTGAGAACCTGAGCCAGCTGCTCCCTCCCCCTTCACAGCCCAGCACTCCAGTGAGCAGGGCAGGCAGAGCAGAGAGTGGTGTCTGACAGTCCCCATTTGTGCTTAGTCAGCGTGCACTTCATTATCTTCAGACCAGTGGACTATAGCCCTCTATGTTAGGGAATAGATACAGGGGTTGGACAAAATATGGGAACACCAATAAAAGCATAAAATTGTTATCCAATATGGTGTCAGACTGCCTTTTTGGCATCAAAGACGGTCTGAATTCTCCTGGGAATTGACAAATCTAAGTCTTGGATGGTGGATAATGGAATCTGACACCACTCTTTATGCACAAATCATTCCAGTTCTTGCAGAGTTGCTGGAGGTGGAAAACAAGCCTGGACTTTGTTTTCCACAATTGACCAGTGGCTTTATGATACTGAGGCCCAGCGACTGTGGCGCCAAGGGGAGGTGTGAGACTTTTGTCTGCATGCTCCTCAAACCACGATTTGACAACACCAGCTGTGTGAATCGGAGCATTATCGTCTTGGTAAATGGTGCTGTCTTCAGGAAGTAATATCTGTACATAGTCGCTAGCAGTAACTCTACCTTTCAAGGTGATGATGGGGCCTGCAGAATTATAAGATCTGGCTGCCCAAACCATGGTTTCTCCACCATCAAGACAGTCCTAGTCATAAGCTTTGGAACAGTGTGAGGCTCTATTCATTGGACATATTAGTCTTCCATTGATCGATAGTCCACGATTTATGGGTGTTGCACCACTCTTTCCTCTTCTGAGCATTAACACTTAGTCACTAGTGGTTTGGCAGTTGCAGCTCACCTATGAATGTTTTTTTTCATATGGAGTTCCGTCCACACAGTCTTTGTGGGCACAGGCTTTGGAAGACTGAGATTGAGCTTGCAGTAACTTTTGCAGCTGTTGTTTTCTTATTCCAGGTCACAATCCTTTTTGTCTCTTTTGGTCAGTTGACCACGTCAGGTGCTTTTATGCCTATCAGACACCGGTTTCCCAGAAACTGTACATACCGTCATAACCTTTTGATAATGTACCTCGTGACACGGCAAATAAATTGGCAACGTCAGACACAGAGGCACCAGCGAAGCGGTCACCAACAATTTGCCCTATTTGAAGCTCAGTAAGCTCTGACATGACTCCGTATTACCCGCAGCCCACGCAGTGAATGACAAAAGTGAGGCTTCCCACCTGTTGGCTAGATGTCTCATCACACAGTGGAAACAAAAGAATATCACATCAATGTTACTTCTGCTTTCAATGCTAAACATGTCATCACTTTCACACCTGCAAAAAATGTAATGTTTCCATATTTTTGTCCAACCCCTATATATTACTAGCACTGCGTGGCAGACCTATTTATTTTGTGGGTTAGAATTTTCTGCCTGATGGACCACGAGGCCAAGAAGGGAAATTTGCTGACTGTTCATTTTTCCTTTTTTCTATGTTTATTTGCACTACCTGTTTTCCTTCTTATGTATGACTGACAATTTTAAACATCTTCTCTTGCTTTGTGAAGAAGATTGAGTGTAAATCTGGTCCTCTGTCAGTGTAGCAGCCTGTCAGCCAACAGCAATATTGTTATTATAGAAGTGTGAGTATAGAAATGGAAATTATTATCTTTTTTCTTTTCTGAAGGTTTCAAAGCTTCTTTCAGAAGCTTTCACCATTAGGGCCTTTTACACTGAGATCTTCTTCACTAGCGTACATGTATGTGGTGGGTGTAACGCAAACAAGACTTCAGGAACTAGCCAGATGTGCAAATATCATGGGAGCTGTTACACACGGTTAGCTTTACAGCATCTGCATCACAGCATCTGGAATGTGTGCAAGTTCTGTTCTCTCATGCACACATACACTGGGTGTTGTGTTTTTTTCCTGAGGGCCGTGACCTGTATTCTGTAGAAATAATAAATCTTCCTGCTACCCAGAAGCCTAGCTTATGTTAAAGAGCAGTGGGAAGTTTAATGATGGGCTAGGCCTGGCTACTAAAGCTGTAATTCATGTGATGAAAGTAAGTAGACTTGGTTATCAAGCAGGGTAGGGTTTGCTAGCCACTCAGTCCTGCCTAGCAGTTAACAAAACTGTTGTGTTGTGTTTTTCCCCCCCCCCCCCATCCCAATAGGTGGAAAGACAAGTGGTATATTCCAGGATTCAGGACCTGCACGGGTAACCCCAAAGCAGAACCCACCAGGAGGAAAGACCAGTGGTATTTTCCAGGATTCAGGACCTGCACAGGTAGCACCAAAGCAGCAGAACCCACCAGGAGGAAAGACCAGTGGTATATTCCAGGATTCAGGACCTGTGCAGTCAGCACCAAAGCAGAACCCACCAGGAGGAAAGACCAGTGACATTTTTGGTGAAGCACAACTAACAACAAGTCCCAAGGCACATCCCAATAAACCAAAGGTAATTGCAAATTTTTGTTTTACTTTTCTCACTTGTATATTACACTTTGGAACCCATTTTAGAGACCAGCTCCATGCCCCAGAAAAGAAAAATGATCCTTGCAGTGGGGCCTTCCTGCAGTGCAGGGTGTAATGCAGCCGCCTTCCATGCTGTGTGACTGGTCCCTCGCTGTCTCTTCTAAGGTGCTCTGGTTGGTCGTTGCACACAGAAGTCATATACAGTGCAGGGCCAGTAGTTCTGCATTGTGTGAGGAAAGCAAGGGCTTATTCACAACCCGTAGGCATCGGGGTGAAGAGACATTCATTGGGGGATTGAGGAATAAGTACTACAACATTTTCTTCTACCCTTTAGACATACTGAGCATTTAAAGTATTGTAAACCCAGGACCCTGCATTCACTATATCTGGTCTCCCACAGAACATGGAAATGCAATTATTTTAGTGAAAATAACCTGCTAAAATATCTTTTATCATCAGCAGTTAGAGCAGTCTTGTGACTTCTATCAGTGTACCAGCTGAGCACTGATTAATCTTGTAGGAGGAGTTTTCATTCTCCCCTGATTGTCCTATGAGGCTGAAGGACCCCTGACCCTCTGTCTGGACAGTGTTGATTGGCCCTGTGCTCATCACATGCACTATCCCAAGGACAAAAAAAAAACACTCTAGCAATACACACCAAACTGAGCATGTGCAGAGTGACTCCTAGAGCTCTGTACTATCAGCAGATGGATTAGGGACGGTAGATGAAGGGGAGGATCAGAGAAGACTAGCTCAAACATCCTTTTTACACAATGTGGAGAGGATTAACCACTTAGGTTCCACAGTGAGTATAACAAGCATGCTTTACTGCATATACAGACTATTTTACTGTTTGTGGGTTTAGTAACACTCTAACCCTTGTGTGGGGGTTGCACTGCAAGGGTAATTTTGTGCACTTCCTAGAGTTCTGCTTTAAAGCAAACCTGTGCTTTGCTCATTCAGGACCTGGCCACATGTCTGCTTTAACACCCCTGTCTACAGTAGCACATACTCTCCTTTGCCCATTTTGTTTATCGCACAGAAATACCTGGTAGGGAGGAGTATGCAACTCACTTCACATGACCATGCTGGGCTAATCAGTGCTGTTGCACAGGAGCTCATAACCCGTGCAAGCGATAAAAATCTGATTTACTAAAAGTTTACACAAGGCTTTACTTTAACTTTTGGCATCTAAACTGAGTGAGTGGTGAAAGTGAAATGAAGGTAAGTGTATACTGATGTCTGCATTAGGCCTCATGTAGATGGATCATTGGGAAAAAGCCCCTCTGAATGCCAGAACTGCTGGCAGGGAATTATGGCCTAAAAACCGTGTTAACAATCTGTGTATTGCACGCGCGTTTATGCGCATCTAGCATTTGAGCGTAAATGCATTTTACTGCTCATATTAATTCTGGCCGTTAGAATGCATTAACGTGGATACGCGCCTTTTTTTTTTTTTTACCTGTTCAAATACTCCTGTAAACACCTATGTGTGCACGGCCACATAGGCTTACATAGCAGTGCTTTTACAGATTAGGAACCCCCCCCCCCCCCCCCCCAAAAAAAAACACTCCACTCCTGTATAAGCAGTGTTTTCTGATATTGAGGTTATTCAGATATTTTGAATTTAATGTATAAATTAACCATGTTCTCATTTGCACTGAAATTTTAGTGCTGTTTTAGAGGTTTTCTTCTGAGACCCTCTACACCTTTTAAAAGTATTTATTGCCATGTGAATCACGTGCTATATACTGTTTTGTTATTTTTGCTGTGTTTACAAAGACTCTTTTGTGTTTAACAGGACAACATTTCTTTAAAACAACCAGAAGTTTCCGCCTCTACCAAACCAGGTCAGTACAGCCCAATCACAGAAACTTTGTATGTAAATGTGTTTCATCATTTCTTAGCTGGTCCAGGAAGCATGGATCTCTAGATGGATGGTAGGTATGAGTAACAAATAAAATGACAGTTGTAGATCTGTGGGAAGATGATCAAGAAACTTACTGTTTAAAGTGCTGGCTCCTATGCACCCTTGCTTGTTGTCCAGTGCAGGTCTTGAACCAGTTGTCGACCTCCTAGATGTTTGAAAGAAGAGACTTGGTCCAAGGGGGTGGCAGCACATTGAAGATGCAGAACTAGTTTTCACCATCCTAGTCATGGTCTAGACATCTATGCTTCCTGGATGTGTAGTTTATGGCTTGTATTTACTGATTGTTATGAGTGCAGAATACAGCCTCATTTAGCAAAGAAATGTCACAGTTTACAGATAAAACCTATGGTGGCAGGAGAAAGAACAAGGGCACACCAGCCTTGTGCATTACCTACGTTACCATTTATTAAATGAATGCACAAATGGTTATGCTCAAAAATCAACAATCTCAAGCTCGTAAAATTCTCTAGGAAACACACCTCCATTACAGAACATGAGTGTCACCCAGCAGAAGCAAGGGCACATTTTGAGGGGCTTAGCGCTTGCTATTGCCATGGAATTTTGCTGATAGGCAAGGTAAAAAGCAATGGTTCTGCAGATACACATCCTTACTATTATAGATTTGTATATTTATAAATTTATATCTTAAGCCAGCTTTTGTTTTAGTTTTCCCAGATAACTGGCCAGGAATGAGGCAGCCAGTGGCAAAGAATGTGCTGGCTTTGGAGGGGGAAAAAATGTAGCACATTTAGTTAATGAAACACAATATTAACCATTTCCTAAAGTACTAGAGATGCAAGTTGAAGTCCCACCAAGCATAGTATCTACATGAAGTTTGAATGGTTTCCTTGGTTAGGAATAACCTGGAATTCCACTTTAAGTTTAAAACCTGCTCCCACCCCCTTTTTAAATCCTATTCAAACTGCCCCGTGAAAGGAAGATGCTTATATTTATCTACTATGAGGGATCTTGCTGGCTTTAGGGGAGAAGCATCCATTGTCAGTTGCCTTCCTCTGGGAGCTGATCATGTGACCGGGGTGGATGCCCTCAGATTAGTTAAAGAAGATCCGGGCAAAAAAAAATCACCTATTTTGTACAACCCCCTACACAAAACAAAAAGAAGTTAATACATTTTAACAATTCTTTACCATTGAAGAGAAAAGTCTAACTGAATTTTTAGGAAGTCCTCTCTCTGTTCCATTATGTTTTTTTGCCAAGAAAAAAAAAAAACAAAAAGCCGGAACTGATGGAAAAAAAAAAAAAACAGATCAGTTCACGTCAGTTTTTCATCAGTTCACATCCGTTTTTTTTTACATCCTTTACCAATTCAAAAACTGACTGTATGTCCTTTTTTACATCTGTTTTTCGTCCGGTTTTTTTTTTTTTTTTTTTTTTTTTTTTCGGAGGAAAATAGGGTTTTCTTCCATTCCAAAAAAAACGGATGTGGACATTAACAGATCTTGCGTTTTTACATACGCTAGTCCATAGCAATAATACATGGGTGTCCATTTTTCATCTGTAAACGTACAGATGAAAAACCGGCATATACGAAACAACTGTATGAAAGGTTCCTAATTCAAGATACCAGCATCTGCTCTGCCAAGGAGGTCTAACAGCTGGGATTACCTCATATCCTCTCCTCTCTCTACAGTAAAAAGATACTACAGCTCCCATCATCCACAGGGAATTGCATTGAATGTGGGTGGGTAAACTATACCTGTACATGTTGAATGTGTCTGAGTCTCGCTCTGCACACCACTGCAAGTGGGGCTGAGTTACATCACTGCTTCCTGGAGAAACAAACTACAGCAGGGATGTGCTGTGACCAGTGGTTGGGGAATAGGAGGCATCGCAGCCACCGGTCTTACAAATAGGAAACCCAATAAAATTAACAGTTTGATTTGAAAATGAATAGGCTATTTCAGAGCAACTACTGAGTGAAGCAGAAGATGGATTCAGTGAACGTAGGAAATTCGCAACAAGAACAGGTAAAGAAGTGTTTGCCCGGAGATCTGCTTTAAGTATAAGCATCTTCCTTCTACAGGGCAGTTAGAATAGGATTTAGAAGGGGGTTGGAGAAGGTTTAAGCTTAGTTGGAAATAGCTTGAAATTGCACTTCAATCCAGAACATACTAATAGGTAATTGACTAAAACTGGCCATACGTTATCCAATTTTCCTTTTTAGGTTTGACTTCACAATATATGGTTTTGGCAAATCTAAACTATTTCAATATGTATGCAGTCAGATAGGCCCTTGCAGTACATAGCTGAAGGTTATTCTAAAGGAAATTTAGCAAGAAAATGGTATAGTGTATGGCCAGCTTTATATCATATATAGGCTCCTGGTGGCCAGCCAGTGGCTGTCAGACTTCAGGAGCAAGTAGTCTGTGTTGTCACTGCCTAGATGCTTTGGGCTAGTAAAGAAAAATATTTCTTTATAGTTCTTTCTGTTAGTGAAGTGATGCTTTACATAAAACTTTGAGAACAGATGGGCTTTTTATTGCAGAAGAGGCATACTATAGAATATAAAATGTGCTGCCATTTATTTTTTTTATGGAAGCTGATGAGAGAATAAATGTGGAAGCATTGGTTTGTGGGGGGGCGCCTGCAGTGGCATTGTCCTCTAGAAATTTTGTGTAATATGTCTTCCGTCTGTCTCCTGCAGCATGTCTCCAGTCTCCAAGGCCTTCTGAATGTCTGCAGTCTTTGATTATTTCTGTAGCATACCTGTAGTCTCTGATCATTTACTGTGGCCATACACTGTTTCTTTTGACAAATCTTCTGTAGTGTCACATACATTGAATATTCTATATGGGCCTATGCTTGAGTTGTCCTGTCTCGAAAGTTGACCACTACTAATTTTGGCCTTAGAGTGTTGTGTGATGGTGGTGGAAACATTACATTTTAAGATCCTGTGGGAAAAGGAACTAATGTGAATGGGTTGCTTTTAAAACACTGGTATACATTTACTTTCTACACTGTGCGTTGTTTTTGATTATGTATCCTATAATATAAGGAGCTGGTGAAAGAACACAGAATGAGAAGTTGCCTATAGCAACTTTTTTCTCTGGAAAATGGAACCAAGATTAGTTGCAAATGGCAGCATACACAATTTCTGGGTTTGATTTGTGTTCTGTGACCCTCAAACAACAAATTAAACTTGGTGGTCTTTCTGTCTTGCAGTGAAGGCTGAAGTGAAAGCGGAAAAACCGCCTCCTCCACCTCCAGCTCCGACACCAGAACCAACGCCAGAAGTAAAGACACCCGTGGCCAAAGAAGAGAAGAAGGTTGTGATGCCAGAAATAGACATTTCCAGACATGAGCCTCACCTAGGCCCCCGGCCACGCTCCCACAACAGAGTCCTGAACCCACCAGGGGGCAAATCCAGTGTCACCTTCTATTAACAACTAAAGTGTAATCGAGTTGGCAGGGAGTGGCCCTATGCATGTCAGTCATACTCTAATTCGCTTAGATCAGTGGAGTGCTGGGCATCTATTAATGGGCTGAAAATTACAAGTTTACTGCTACTTTGTACCAAATGGATGAAAATACCCCATCACACCTAGCCATCCTAACCACAACTGCGTATTGTATTGCAGAAAGGTAATTTTATGTCTGTGGTAGCGGGAGAAATGCCTTTTTAATACTGCAGTTTTATCAGTAAAAAGTTGCCTTTTTAAGTAACTTATAAAATGAAGTGGCTTAGTTAGTGACAGAACAAATGTCCCATGGGTTTGCTTCCCAATAAAATTGTTCAGTGTATCCTGTTTGAGGTAAAGCCATTTTGGAAACTGACCCACCACCAATAAGTGTGCCTTCATTAGACCAGTGAAGCTGGTTAACCATTTAGGCATCATATATTTCTCTTTCCATGTTAGCAATGATGTGGCTGTTTGTAGGCGCTTTCCATTTTAGGATGTTGTTTATTGAGTTTCTTGAAATAGCTGCATTAACGTGATTAGTTTTGACCAAGTATCTGCATTGCTGCAATTGGGTTGGTGCTCTTAATGGCTTCTACTGTACCAGTGATCAAAACATTGCTTCTGCAGGCCTCTTTGCTTGGATTGGATAGGTTAAAGCTGAAGTTTAGGTATGGCTTTTTTTTTTTTTGTTTGGTTACATTGGTTCAGCTTGGACTAATGTTAGCATGTGTGTGTGTGTCATACCTGTGGCTTCCATATGGAAGCTGGAACTGACCACAGTAGGCGCTGCTCCTATATTGATTGCCACTAGCTTCCAGGTCTTATGCCAAGCAACTTACTCTTCTGATTACGGCACACAGGCTTGCCCACCCGGCATAAGTGTCATTCAGAGGACACTTTGCATTTTATAATTGCAAAGAATTCTCTGGGTGAGGTAAAAGTTGTGTGATTTTCCCCCCCCCCCCCCAGCTTACACAGGAATCCCACGGGTATGGTGCATATATACTTATGATGTTCTAAGTTGGACCAGTGTAACTATGTAAAAATGACAATACCTAGCTTTAAACATAGGGGACTCTGAAAACTATTCCTGCTGACTCTGTTATTGGTTTTTTTTTTTTTTTGGTTTTTTTTTTTTGTTAATATAAAAAAAAAAACCTCAACTCCAAAACCTTTTTCTAGTTTTTGATATGGAAAGATTAGAATTCCTGGCAGGTTTTATAGCTATCTGCTGCTCCATTTGCGAGATTTCTCCTCCCTTCCCTGTCCTGGTGAAAACAGGGAGTTGGGGCAAATGTGTAACGGGGATATAGAAATAAAAATGTAATGGGATTCCAGCCTTCCTCTCCACTTTACTAAGGAAAGATCTTTATATCTGTCTCTGCGGAGGTTAGGGGTTCCCTCACTTCCAGTCTGGAAAGTGTTGTCAACAGGATAGAAAGGGGTAAGTAAATCTCTCTAATAGAGACCCAAATAGCAGTAAAAATCTGAAAGAGGTTCCAACTTTTACCCATACTGTACAGAGCAAAGAAAAAAAAAAATTTTGCCTAAACATCTGCTTTGAGCCTTTTTTGACATTTTTTAGGCTGGCAATGAGGATCCTTAGCAGGAAATCATACATACAAGGCATATATCTTTAGATAGTCTGGCTGTGTTCTGAAAGAGTTGATTTAAAATGATGTTGGTTTCTTTTGGTGTACAATTTTTAAAAAAAATCAGAAGTGATACCTGAATGCCAGGGGCACCAAGCCCAGGATGAACTAATTTCTTAATCTGAGTTTGGCAGACATTTTGTAAGTCAGATTAATATTCATGAGCATTCAGTCCATCATTGTTTTTAGAAAATTTTCAAACTCTGTGCCTGAAAAGTACTGTCTGCTTTGCTCGTAGTAACTAATTATACTTATTTCTTGCCTATATCAGCCAGACTTTGTCATTTCATAACTTGCCATAGATGATGGATGGGAGAATTGTATTTGCTGTGGGCAAAACACAAGCTTCTTCCCCCCCCCAACCCCCCCCCCCCCCCCCCCGGAAACTTTGATAAATAAGGCTCGCTTCTTGCCTTGGTAGCTGATGATATGCTTAGAGAGATATGGCAATGCAGTTCGTTGTGGTGGGCTTGATTTTTTAATTGAATGTATAAGTGATCATGAAGAACCACTTAGAGATGAGGCTTGACTATCCCCCTGCTGGTGCTCAGAAGATGGAAGCAGGCATCCAGTTCACTCATCCAGAAGTGTCAAACTGTTCTGCATGACACCCTGATTAGGCTGACTCCATGCTAACAAGATGTGTGGCCTCAGCCAGCGCTGCTCCAGTTCTGACATGTTTCACCCTGCCCATAGGGGCTTTGTCACAGAGGTGACCTAGCCCTGGTAAGTAGGGAAAAATGTGTTGAGGGTATGGCTGGAGCAGCGCTTGCTGAGGCCACACATCTTCTGAGCACTGGGTCAGTCTGAGCGGTGTCTCATGCAAAACAGTGAATGTGTGTTTCACTGTCTAGGAATACACCATAGTTACACTGGAGGCAGCTTTGTGTGTTCCTGAACAAATTACCAATGATTTAAATGGTGCCATCATCTCCAGTGGCTCGGTACAAAGGTAATGATGTGTACATTTGTATCCATATAACTATCAGTGTATGTGAAGAAGACCCTATCACTAATGTGAAAAAAAAAAAAAAAATAGGAAATACGTGTTTTTGTTTTTTTTTTTGTTTTCTCTCCATTGAAGAGCATGAGATGTCACCCTTAGGTTATAATATCACCTACAGGAGGATTGAACACTAACAAACAATTCTGCATGGAATCCACCATTACACCAGGAAACTTGCTGGCATCTGTGGAAATCAAGGATGCTTACCTATATATGCCCCCTTTTTTTTTTTCCCCAGAGTATCATCATTTCCTAAGGTTTGCTGTGAGCCCTGTCCACTACCAATTTGTGGTGCTGTCCTCTGTATTAGCCCTCTTGTGCACTTTTGAGATATTTAGATGACCTCCTGTTGAAGGAAAAACCAACACAGGCTTTGTCAATGTGTCTGACTGTCCAGATGTTACAGCAGTTTGAATGGATCCTGAACTCCATAAATCATCCCTGGAACCAACTTCTCATTTGAAGTATCTGGGTCTAGTCACACAGCTTTAGAACACAGCTCAGGCCAGTGTTTCTTCCATAGGAGATATCTCAGAATCTCTGATTCATGCTGTTTAGTCCAGTTGTCTAATTCTGCTTTTTTTTTTTTTTTTTTTTTATGAGAGTCTTGGGCCTGATGTTTTCTTCTTTGGCAGAAATCCCAGTTTGACACCAGACCTCTACCAAGGCAATATTCTGTTGTCGTGAGACAAGTCAATCAAGTCCTTGGACTGATAGATTCTTTGGGTACGAAGGACCAGATGGTCCCTGGCCTGATGGTTTAGGAATATGGCTCTGGCATTGGTAAACCACCATTTAAACATTTTGTTGTTATACTCACCCACAAGGTGGTATTCCTTGTAGGCATCACCTCTGCAAGACGTAATGTCTAAGCTGGCAGCCTTTTCATTCAAAGAACCCTTTCTAGTTTTACACAGGGAAGTGTTGAGGCTCAGGAATTCTTGCCCAAGACTGTTTCTGTCTTTCACTTCTACCAGGATATTCTCCTGTCTTGCCCATCTTCAGTTTACTAGAAGTAGATTTCCCTCTATTGGATGTGTATATAAGGTACCAGAGGATTGACTCATTACACATCAAGTAATAAAAGGATCACTATATTTTTTCAAAGGTTTTCATTAAAACATATTGCGGTCAGCCCTGTTGGGACTGCATTGCTATATACATCTATGTATGTTCCTATATTTTACTGAGGCAAGTGCTGCCATTCTTGTGATTTTTTTTTTTTTTCCTTTTCCATTTGACCCAAACAAAATGTCTCTCACTGTGCATAGACAAGCAATCCTTGTATTGTACTTCTGAAAAACTGTTGAAAGCAGTTCATAGGAAAGAAATGATATGTGCTGTATATTGAACATAGCTTATTCATAAGTGAAGTTTGACTGATTTGTACTGTAATTTGACAAATGACATTGAATACTAGTTAAAAGGTGCCACATATCTTTGATTTTACGTGACGGTTAGAGATTGTGTAGAATGTATATTTTCTTTTAATTGTCCAGCCACAACATAGCCCAGTAAGAAGTTGGACTTTGTGTCCATTGCAGCATACCAAAAAGAGTAGAACTATGGCCTCCCATTAAAAATTATGGGCTGCAGTACTTAAAACTGTAAGTGCCGATACATTTTGAATTGTTGTAGCCCTCTTGTAAAGTCCCAGAAATACCTGTTGAGCCTTCCACTGCATTGCAGCTTCCTGTGATGGTGAGGCAACAATACTGTACTGCTCCTGAATGCAGATTAGAGGTGTCACTGTCATCCAGGCTGTGCCTGGTTACACTGCAGTGGGATGGAGGAGTTTGCACAGGGTGTGGCCATCAGCATTATCACTGTTGATTTACAATGCTATAGGCTTGTAGGTCAGCACCTGGCTATACTAGTCCTGTGTACTGCTTTGGATTAGCAGTACTGCCTCTTGCTGAAACCCTCCCACTGTGAGGTGCAGTGTCTGGGAGGGGTAGCGTGTGAGACAAAAAAAAAAGGTTAAAAAAAACTGCCCATAGTAACCAGCTTCCTCCTTTTTTTTTAATTTTTTTTTTTTTTTTTACTTTCAACAAAGGAAAATGAGAGAGAACCAGTATAGTCAGTGAATGCATGCCACTGAAATAGCGATGCCTCTGTGTAAAAAGTGTTGTAAATGTAATTGCTTCCTATAGCAATCAGTGATCTTTCAGCTTTTCGAACACTTGAAGCACGAAGGCCAAGGAATTTTAAATCAGGACATTTTGGAAAGGGTATAATTTATTTGCTTTATAATCTTCAAAGAAGGCTTGGTATATAATATGCAAACCTCAATGAGTAATAATTATAGAAGCAGCAAACCTAAA